ACCAGACTACCTTTTGCTTTAATTCTTATCTAGTCTTCCATTACTGAATGGGCATTGCCTCAGACAAATTGAGGCCTGGGAAAGAACTTAACTTAAAAAGATCAAGGTCTCCCAGTGCATCAGGGCCATCACCAGTCATCTTGACCTATGTCTTGCCTCTGGATTCCGATGACTCTGGAAGACAGAGTGAGACTTTGCACAGCTCTACCTCACCTAAATCCAATTCACTTGCAAGTCAAGACATGACCCTCAGATGTCATTGGTCCTCTTCCAGAACAAACAAAGGCTGAACAACAATATGTGAGTAGCCACTAAAAATTTTCCAGGATGACAGTAAAATGACCAAATCTTGGCACAAAGACAATTACTCTGCTAGAGGTATAAAGCATGGATTAGAAACAAAAGAATGGACATAAGACCTCTTAGGAGGCTATTTCAATAGTGCTCTCAGTTAATAGTAAGGTTCAAAGTGGGTGGAGCCAAAGGTAATGGAAGGGAGGAGACAAATGCAAGACACGTTGTAGAAGGAGAATAAACAAAATAACTGATCAACTATGAAAGGCAAAGGAGAAAGAAGAATCTATGTTATAGAAACTTTTCATGAAGAGAAAAAGACAGCACTCTGTGAAATTCTTTCTACAGTGCAAATATTGTCCCATTTCCAAAACCAGGGAAAGGTAAAGTAAAATGAGAAACTATGTTCATTAGTATGATTAAATAAAATTTAAAATAAAACACTGGTAGGTAGAATAGAGAAGTATATAAAATTATCATTATATGCAAAAATGTTCAGTGTTAGGGAAGCAAGTAACACATTAAATCACATGAACAATAAAAATAATTAAATGTAAATAGTTGCAAAGCAAATTTAATTTGTTGTACCTATGTTTAGTGGTAAATTTATAATAAACCCTTTAAAATCTAATCATACTATCAAGAGATGCATAGAAATCTTTGACAAAATTCAAGTTCCCCTCCATATTAAAAACACTAAAACACCTGGGAATGAAAAGATTTTTCCTTAATGTGATAAAATGAATTCTCCTAAATCCTAGGGTCAAAATTATGCATAATGGACAAATATTAGTATCTTTCACATTAAGAACAGCAGGGAAACAAAGGTGACCATTCTCATCATTGTTATTTGACAGAGTTTGCTGCTGTGAGTGATAGTAACAATCCAAGAAATAATTGTTGACCAAAGGGCTGCTAACTTTGAGTTGTCTCTACATATGAGTGACATGATGGTTTCTTTAGAAACCTTGAGAGAATCAACAAGAGATATTCAAGATATAAATGGCTTCAGAAAAGCAACCAGTTATAAAACAAGCCCACAACAGAGCATAAGCTACTTCTAGATATCATTAACCTAAATCAGGAATAGTAGTAGAAATAGAAGTATTATTTAAAATAATAATGAAATATGTTAAATATCTATCTGGGAGTTAGCCTACCAAGACACACACATGATTTATATGAATACAAAAAAAGTGTAGAAATTAAAGAAGAAATAAATAATTGGAAATGCTGAATGTAAAAAGTTAGATCATGCTGATATAGTATAAATAATAATACTATTCAATTTAATTTCCAGATTTACTGCTGTACAATCAAAACACTAATAAGTTACTTCAAAGAGTTTTTAAATATCCATTCCTTTTGGCCCAGTAATACCACCACTAAATTGATTAATTTAGAACATTATTGTCAAAGAACAAAAACTAACAGTACAAACATTGCTTTTAGCACTATTTTAATAGAAGAGGAGGAAAAAAAGCCTGGAACAAAATACATGACCAACCAATAATACAAGAATGTACAAAAACAATTATGGGTAAAATTATTGCCCACTAAAGACTTATGATTATGATGAATCAAAAGAAATATAGGAAGACATAGAGTAAAGTGAAGACAATAGAAACAAAAGAATGATAGACAACCAACTAAACTTTTCAAATGAAACTACTAATAACAATGAAAATCAGGATAAATTCACAGGGCAACTTCATCAGTACCTTATTTCAGTTAAAACATAGCTTTTATTTCTTTCAACAATATGTAAACTACAGGAGTGTACAAATATGCATTACAAATTTTACAACCATTGCTTTTTATTTAATACATATATATTACATAATGTAATATATTTTAATAAACAAACTACAGGACCTTTGGTAAAAAAAATGCAAAAATAAAATGGGGAAATTCAAGTTGGATATGAGTTCATGAGAAAAAGGAATTCGAGTTTTAGCAAAATACAACCTGAGTCAACAGTAAGATAAAGTCACCAAAAAATCTAATGCAAGGGGCAGCCAGGTGGCATGGTGCATAGAACATCAGCCCTGGATTCAGGAGGACCTGAGTTCAAATATGACCTCAGACACACAACACTTACTAGCTGTGTGAGCCTGGGCAAGTCACTTAACCCCATTGCCTAGCCAAAAAAAAATTTTTTTTTAAATTTAAAAAAGCTAATGCAAATTAAATCTGCATGGTTAGAAGTATAGAGAATGAAAAATATGTTTGTCTCATGGGACACTGCCTTAATCAGACCATATCTACATTTGTGTGTTCTCATCTGGACTTGACATTTTAGGAAAGGAGATTAACAAGGAGGAGATCATTTAGAGGGAGGATCATCAAAATGGTTAGGGGGCTGGAATCAGTGGTAAACAAGGGTAGCTTGAAGGGACTGAAGATGTTTAGCATGGAGAAGAGGATATTTAAGGAGAATATTATCGGTGTTGGTTTATGTTTGAAGACCTGGTATGTAGAAGAAAGGTTAGACTTATTTTGCCTATCCACCAAGAGAACAATAAAGATAAAGATATAGAAGTTACAAAGGAGTGGATTTGGGTGCAATATAATATTCCTAAAAATAGGGAGTTAGGATCAAAAACCAGAATTGGTTACCTCAGGAGGTAATGAGCTCCCTATCAATGGAGGTCTGCAAATGGAAGCTAAACAAACACTTGTGATATTCCAAGTGTAGAGTGGGTGCATGATTCAGGTATATGTTGGACTAGCTGGCCTCTGAAGTATGTTCCACCTTAAATACTCTGTAACTCTGTAACAAGTAAACAGCATCACTTTGGGTAAGTCACCTAATCTTTTGTTTCTTCATCTGTAATATGGGGGTAGTATTATTTGCTCTACATAACTTTTATGGTTGAAGGACCATACATGTCCCAAAGTGCGTGTGTATGAACCACTTTGAATGGCATCGTGGCAAGATTGCAGGACTTGATTTCCATTGGGGTTGAAATTCTATCTCTGAGGGGCAGATAGGTGGTGCATTGGAGAGAACACCAGCCTTTGAGTGAGGAAGACCTAAGTTCAAACCCAGCCTCAGACACATAACACTCACTAGATGTGTAACTCTGGGCAAGTCACTTAACTCCAACTGCCTCACACAAAAAAAAGAAGAAAAAGAAAAAGGAAATTCTATCTCTGAAGCTAATTGTCTAGGGGTGGGGAACGTGTGTCTTCAAGGCCACATATGGACCTCTAGGTCCTTGAATGTGGCCCTTTGACTGGATCCAAACTTCACAGAACAAATCCCTTAACAAAAGCATTTGTTCTGTAAAACTTGGATTCAGTCAAAAGACCACATCCAAGGACCTAGAAGGCCACGTGTGGCCTCAAGCCTCTCCCCTGTTCCGTTAATGAGTCACACCATCTCAATGAGACCAGTCTCCTCTTCTGGGAAATAAAGACAACAATATAATGCCATATACCCTATTCCAGACAGTTATGAGGAAAGTGCTCTGGAATCTTATAACATAATATAAATGTATATTATTAATTTAAATTATTATGTATCCTACATCCCATCCATTTTAAATATATTATTACATCATATTATTAATTTAATTTATTTCATTATGTATCATCTTTCCCCTTGAAACTCTGCTTCTGACTTTCTGGATTTTATCATATTTCCCCTGCTGCCTCTCTCCCTGGAATTTCCCTTCACCTTTCTAGTCTCTTTCTCCCATTGATGAGTTCCTCCATTTTGGGCAGGATCCCAGACTAGTCATTTTTAATTCCTCTCCTACTTCTGCTCTTAACTGTCAAGATTTTGCCACCCTGTCTCAGCTATCTTCTCACCTAGAAAATCCCTCCACTCCTCCTTTCCACTTCTCTTTCCCATGCATGAGTTCCTCTCTAAGCCTCCTCTTTGGGGAGGGGCCCAGACCAGTCATCCTCTATTCCTCTCCTGCTTCTGCTTATGACTCTTTAGACTTAGCCACCATGCCTAGCACATAGTAAGTTCCTAATAAATGCTTGTTGCCTGCTTATCTGCCGTTATTGTGTCATATTTACTCCAAAATGGTTCTTTCTGGGGTACTTATTCAAAGAAACACACACACACACACACACACACAGGAGAGAAAGACAATGACAGAAGTAGAAATAGATAAAAGGACTAGAAACAGACTTACAGAATTGTAGATTATGGTCATTTAGTCTAGCTCATATACCAAAAAGAATCTTCATTACAACATACCCAACAAGTGGTCCTACACTCTACCAGAAGGTCTTCAGTGAGGGGCAGCCCACTACCTCCTGACATAATGCATTTGATTTGGGGATGGCATTAATTTTTAGGAAGTGTATTCCCTAATGACAAGGCTTAATTTGCCACTTTTCAACTTCCACACATTGTTCTAGCATGTCAAGATCTTTCTGAATCCTGGTTGTCATCCAATTCAAGAATAGCAGAAGTAGCCTTATTAAACATTTTACTAAATTCCTTGTTAACTATATTACTACATTCTCTTGATCTGCCAGTTTTGAAATACTGTCCACAAAGAAAATGAAGTTAACCTAAGAACTTTTTCTCAATGAAGCCATACCAGTTCTGCTTGATTAACACTTTCTTTTCTAGATATTTGCTAACCATCTCTTTAATGTTTAGTTCTAGCATTTTGCCAGGATCGAGGTCAAGTTTACCAACCTGTAGTTTGCAGACTCTTTTCTCTTTCCTTTTTTGAAAACTAGGAAACCTCTGCCCTTTGACAGGCCTTCAGGATCTCTTGCCTTCTCCACAATCTTTCAAATATCATGGACATCTCAGCAGTGATATCCACCAGTCCTTTTGGTTGAAACACAGAGAAATCACTAGAGGCAGAGAGATAAAGACAAAAACAGAAATAAAGATAAAGACACAAGGAAGACAGACAGACATTTGTGGAGAAGACCTCAAAGTTACATTCTTTTCTTCATAACTGGTTCACCTTAGGCATCTCACATACACCCTCTGGGTCTCAATTTTCTTGTCCACCCCAAGCCCTCCATATTGGGCATGAAGCCTCCTGAACTCCTCTTAGAAAAGTCATCTGAATAACAGAAGAATTATTAGAAAGAAGAATAATATGTTCCACAACCCTACAAAAAAGCACTTAGGAGATAACAGAAGAGACAAATTTGCTCAGACATGTCTAGGATATGAGTTTACAGAATCAGTACAGTGTAACTTTAGTGTGATAGGAGAGAAGAGACAAGAGGAAGTCATTTGTCTGTGTAACTTGTATTGATGCCACAAGTACTATTTACCATAATCAATACACTATGAATAGGAGAGTTTATATTTCTCTTCTAAGAGTGGTGCAGAATTCTTACATAAAAATCCTATTCATCTTTTTCTCACAACATGCCTATGCACAACATCGGGGAGAACTATAAAATTAGAGTAGGTGGTAAGGGAGACAGAGGATATAGTTGCCCATTTTCTATATGGGTGAATCTAAGGTGGGAAGAGGTGAAATGACTTACCCAAAGTCAACTAGCATGAATTTCACTCATTCTACAGATCACTGGATACTTTCCTAACCTCTTAATGGCAGATCTCATCTCCTGATTCCTAAGGGTATAAATCATGGGGTTAAGCATGGGAGTGATGACTGTGTAGCTGATGGAGACAGCCTTGTCCATAGGGAAGGAGGTGAAGGGACGGGCATAGATGTAGATGCATGGCACAAATATCAAGGATACCACAATGATGTGGGTGGTACAAGTGGAAGAGGCTTTGCGCCTTGCCTCCCTTGAGTGAAATCTCAGCATCACCAAGATGACTGTGTAGGAAGCCAGAAGGATGAGGAACCAAATAAGAACTAACATCCCACTGTTGGTAATCATGAGGAGCTCCAATAAAGAGGTATCTGTACAGGCAAGTCTCAAAACTTGGGGGACATCACAATAAAAGTTATCCAGGATGTTGGGGCCACAGAAAGGCAAGGGCAGCAGGAGAACAAGCTGGACAATGGAGTGGACAAAGCCTCCTGCCCAGGCAGCCGCCACTAGCCCAAAACACATCTGAGAGTTCATGATGGTGAAATAATGGAGGGGCCGGGAGATGGCAATATAGCGGTCAAATGCCATCACTGAAAGGAAGAAGACTGTACCACCACCCAAGAGATGGAAGAAGAAGATCTGGATCATGCAGCCCTTGTAGGAGATGGTTTTGGCCTCAGACAGGAAGTCAACCAGCATCTTGGGGGCAGTGACTGAGGAGTAGCAGAGATCTGTAACAGCCAGGTTATGAAGAAGGAAATACATGGGAGTGTGGAGCCGAATATCAGAGGTTACTATAGTTATAATGAGGAGGTTTCCCATAACAGTTGTTATGTAGACAATCAGGAACACAAGGAATAGAAAACCCTGCAGCTCCTGAGCCTGTGAGAGTCCCAAGAGGACAAACTCAGTCACACTAGTAAGGTTCCCTGCTTCCATAGAATCTTTCTAACACACCTAGAGAGAAAACACATCATTAAAACACACACACACACACACACACACACACA